AAGATCTTAGTACTTAATGTCTTCTAGTCATACGGGCATAAAATTGACATACAGACTGAAGGAATACCACAGAGAACCTGCAAATATTTATGGCCAACTAATCTTCAACAGGGTGTCAAGAACACACAATAGGGAAAGATAGATCTATTGGAAAATAGTGTTAGGCCAGATGCCAGTGGCTCACACCTGTAATCCTATCTACTCAGGAAGTTTAGTTTTAAGGACTGAGGTTCAAAGCCAGGCTAGGCAGGAAAGTCTGAGACTCTTTTTTTTGGTCCGGTCATGGGGCCTGAACTCTGGGCCTAGGCGCTGTCCCTCAGCTTTGCAGCTCAAGGCTAGCGCTCTATCACTTGAGCCACAGCACCACTTCAGGATTTTTTCTTATGTGGTGCTGAGGAATCAAACCCAGGGCCTCTGGCATGCAAGGCAAGCGCTCTACCACTGAGCCACCTTCCCAGCCCCTAAGTCTGAGACTCTTATCTCCAATTAATCATCAGTAAACCGGAAGTGGATCTGTATCTCAATGGTAAAGCACTAGCCTTGAGTGAAAAAAGCTCAGGGACAGTGCTCAGGCCCAGATTAAAGCTCATGAGCCTCCTCCACGCCTCCCCCCCCCCACCCCCAAAGTGTTGGGAAAACTGGATATCTACGTGTGGAATGAAATTAGATCTGTATTCCACACTATGTATAAAAATTAACTTAAACATGAATTAGACTTAAATATAAGATTGGCGCAGTATAACGACTAGACTAAAAAAAAAGCTTTCTGATACTGGTTGGGGCAAATATACTTTGGATTTTATATTGAAAGCACAAGCAATAAAAGCAAAAATAGGAAGATGGAATTGCATCAAACTAAAACATTTCTACATACCAACAGAACTAATCACCCATGTGGAAAGGAAGTACATTGTACAGGGCAAAATATTTGCAAATGATGTCTCTGATAAGGAGTTAAAAACATATAAAGAATTTCTACAACACAATAGCAAAAACAATCCTCTAAAAATAGGCAAAAGATCTGAATTGTTATTTCTTAAAAGACACAGAAAGGCAATAGAAAAGAAGAGCTCAATACCATCGATGATCAGAAAAATGCAAGTCAAAGTCACAGTGAGATATCACCTCAAGCTTGTTAGAATGGTTTTTATAAAAAAGACAAAAAAGACACACACACACAAAGGAATATAAATCAGCACAGCCATTATGGAAAACAGTATAGAGCTTTCTCAAAAAAAATGAGAGTTGAGCACTACCACACAAATCAGGACTTACATTTTCCTGGGTGGAATTTTCATATCAAAGGATAGGAAATAAGGATACTGAAAAGACATGTAAAAGCCCTTTTCACAATATCCAAGATATGAACACAGTCTATTAACGGCTAATCAACAAATGAAGAAATTGTGTGTGTATGCACCAGACTGAATATTATTTAACCTGAAAGAAATCCTGCCATTTGTAACAACTTGGATGGACGCAGAGGACTTTGGCCTGAATGAAATAAGCCAGACTCAGAAAGATGAATGCAGCCTGGCCTCACCTGGCCTCACCTGTGGGACCTGAAACAGCAGAACTCACCACGCAGACTTTAACAATAGTTGCCCAGGGATGTGGGGTGGTAGGGTAAATGAAGATATATACTGATCACAAAGTACAAAGGTTCAGTTAAGACTTGGAAAAAATCATATTAAGTGAAGCAAGCCAAACCTAAAGAAACATAGACTCCATGGTTTCCCTCATGTGTAATAATCAGTATATGTCTAGGATAGTCCTAGAAGAGGATCACAATAGCTCATTAGCTATGTTCATAGGACCATATAAGATGATGCTAAGCAAAATGAACTCCAAGATATGGAAACAACTTTGTTCTTTGTTGTTGTTTTTAATGTATTGTGTGAAGTTATTCTATTTTATTTATTTTTAAGGAGCTTTCTTACATGTTTTTTGTTGTAAAAATACTGTACAGAGGGGTTACAGTTACATGAGCAAGGTAATGAGTACATTTCCTATCGAGCATTGTTACTCTCTCCTTTGTTTTTCCCCTACCATCCCTTCCTTCCATACCTCCTCAACTCCCCCCCACCAAGTTGTAAAGTTCATTTTCAACATTTTGTTATTTCCCTTCCCCTCCCCAAATTAGAAAAATGTATATACAAGATGCAGGGCTCTGACATCAAATACAGTGAAAACAGGGGTTATACCATGGGGGAAGAACATACAAGAGAAACAAACAAATCACATAGTACATTTTAAATACGTTAAAAACAATAGCAAGAAAGAAAAAAACCACTGTGTCCCTATCTTCGGATTAATTTCATTTTACATCATCTTATATGGTCATATGTATATAGCTTCTGAGCTTTTCTGCTTGTCCTATACTTATATAGTTATTGCAAATAAGAGAAACCATGGGACCTATGTTTCTTTGGGCCTGGCTTATTTCACTTAATATAATTTTTTTCTAAGAGTTATTTTATTTTTCTTTCTTTTTCCCCCCCCCTTTGGTTTATCCCCTGTTGTCACTGTATTTTAGTACCCTATGTCTTGTATATATGCTTATCTGAATTGGGGATGGGAAGAGGAACAAAGAAATAGTGAGACAAAGAATAAAGGGTGAACTAATGCAACAGGGATACTATAAGACAATATGTTGGAAATGAACTTTACAACTTGTAAGGGGGAAGATTGGGGAGGGGGAGGGAAAAGTGGGAGAAAAATGAGGGAAAGGGTAGCAAGGTTAGATAAGAAATGTACTCATTACCTTATGTATGTAACTATAATCCCTCTGTACATCACCTTGACAATAAAATTAAATTAAAAAAATAAGCTAAGTTCTAAAAATCTACTGTGCAGCATGATGACTACAGTTAAGAACAATGCAATGCATATTGGAACTTGCCAAGAGGGCAAATCTAGTATACACACATGTGTACACACACACACGCGCGCACGCACACACACACATGCACATGCACACACTCACACACACAGAGTCTATGTAAAGTGATGAACATGTTAACTGATTTGATCAAGGAGATAACCTAACAGTGTATATGTACATCAACCATCAAGTTGTATACATTAAATATATAGTTTCTAGGTGTGAAAACAAAAAACCCCTAGGGATGACTTACATCTATTTTCTATCTCAAGTTCCAATGTTTCAAAGAAGATAGTCACAAGCAAAAGCAGAGACTCCTAAACTGAGACATATTGCCTGCTGGGGCATGTCCTTTAAGCCTTCCCCAACAATGGGCTAGATTTTTATGTCCTAATCCCTCCCACAGCACCTGACACACAGGTATACATTATTATTGAGTAATTGATGAACAAAGTCTGAAAAGGAAACCACTCACCAAACCGAAGAGTTCAAATTTATTACATTAGCAGAATGAATAAGCAAGCAAGAAAACATACAATTAACCCTTGACAGAGGTCACCCGGGCCATGGTTAACCTCTAATGTATGGGTCAGCCTGCTCTACTTGGCTCTTTTGGCCATTTCATGAATGGTAGAAAGATTTGGAAGAAAGAATTCTCAAAATAATCCATGGCATGATTCCTGCCTCATTAACAAAGGATAACCATTGGAAATGCATATTATGTACTATCTGGGAGACAGGAAAGCAAACCAGAAGGATTTGAAAGCAGCAAAAGTAAAAAGTAAACGCTTTAAAGCACAGTGCTGCTCTGCATCATAGGAGGGCTGGCTGCCCATGGGTGTAAGGCCCTAGCTAGAGGACCTGAGAGGCCCTGAGCCAGAGCCACTTATTAACTACCTGAAACTAACAAGAAAACCAATCTTACAGTTTCTTACACACACCTGTTTCTGCTCAGATACAGAAACACAAAGCTTCATTCACATTTAGCTGGAAATGACTTTTGTTTATTGCCTCAAATCAAATCCAACTATCCCCATGGTGATTTGTCACCCACTGAGGATTTCTAAGAGGATGTCTGAAGGCAATTCAAACAGAACCAAGGCTTCTGTGAATGACAATGGAAAGGGTTACTTCCCAGGATGGTGCCAGTGGTTGATAAGCTACAGAATCAGGTACATTACTTCAGTCTCACAGGATACACCTTGTGTCTTAAGGTGGCAGTTCTTTGAGAACATTCACAGGTGATTCAGGACTTAGGTGCTGTCCCTCAGCGTTTTTGTTTAAGGCTTTTAAGCCACAGTTGCACCTCTGGCTTTTGTTGGTTAATTGGAGATAGGAATATCATGGACTTTCCTGGCCAGGCTGGCTTTGAACTCCAATTCTCAAATGTCAGCCTTCTGAGAGCTAGGATTACAGGCATAGGTCCCAATGGCACCCAGCTCATAGGCTACTTTTTATATTCTCCACAGCATATCATGGAGAGTTGATTCTCCATGAAGGTTTTACCCAGTTGATCTCATTCTCTATATTCCAGGGTTGGAGTAGTGTGAAAAGATACGTTGTGGGGGAAGATGCAGATTCAGATCCTGGCCCCGGCCACTAATAAGGTAGTGTGATCACTATTCATCTCCCTAAGCCTCTGGCTCTGCCCTTCAAGCCCTCCCCCATGTTCCAGCTTCAGCCACATTAGATGAAGTTTACAATAGAGTTAGCTCTCCATATCTACGGGTTCAGCATCTGTAGACCCAGAAATATGCAAGAAATACTTGATGCTGGACATGTGCAGATGTTTTTCCTCATTCTTCCCTAAACAATACAGTACAACAGCTATTTACAGCTGAGTCATCTAGAGATGATTTAATCAAATGTTATGCTAGTTTACACAGATTCCCAGATTTTGGTATCTGTATATGCATAGGGGCAGGGCTAGAACCAATTTTCCATGGATGATGAGAAATCACTATTATTATTACATAATATTACAAGATTATATTATATTGCCATGTTGAGGATAGAAGCCAGGACCTTGTGTACACTAGGCAAGTACTCTCTAACTGAGCAACACCTGAGTTCCTTTTCTTCTTCTTATTGAACGTAGGATAATTTTGATACTCACCTCTCTCAGCGTTGGCTTGCCGATGAAAAAGTCTGTGTTTTTGCTGCTTTTGGGTGGATTGAACTTGGGATTCAGAAAAGCACATCCATTTGCAATGGCTTCCAGGGGAGCTGGGCCCTCATAAGGAAACCCAAGCCCAACAAACAACTGTAAGACAAAACAACAAGCATCATATAAACATATCAGTCAGGACTGGCCTCCTGGCTCACAGGGGCTTCTCCTGTTGTCCATCCTTTGAATATCTCAAGCACTGTGGAAGGCTATCAGACCTGGGGCAGGGAGGGCAGGTGAGGGTAAAGAAAAGGGGCTCATACTAGGCTCTACAAAACACTACAGAGACTGTGAAAGCCCTGGTGAAATTAGTGTGGCTAAACAAACTCTCTTCGGCTAAGAAAGCAAAGAAAGGGTGTAATGGTGTGTGTGTGTGTGTGTGTGTGTGTGTGTGTGTGTGTGTAGAGAGGTTGGGGGGTACTAAAAGAAAAACAACAACAAAACCCAAGACCCAACAATCATCTTTCTGTAACTCCCCAGGAGACATGACTGGAAAAACACTTGCTTAACCAAACAGAAGGTTTCTTCATTGAAACAGCAGAACAACAGGCCCTTTCAGGGCTGCTGAGCCAGGGACAGAAAGGTCACTTGGCGGTTTGATTACAGTTCAAATGGAACTGCTTTCAAACGATGGTAGGTCAGTAAACACAGGTTTCCATAATGGTTTTTTTCACTGGGGGATGACAACATCTCGTTTTTATTTTCCCCTGGGTAGGGGCAGAGGATGCTCTTGCAGGGTCCATCTGCCAGGGGACCTCCCTCACCAGAGCAGGCACGCTATGCAATTCCTCCAAGCAGACAATAGATGGCAGCAAAAACACATCCCTAAAATCAGGATCACAGTACCAGCAGGGAGCCACCGTGACAAAGGGGGCACGCTGCTGTTTCAGCTGCTCTGATTCTTGAACCTACACATGGAATAGCATTTCATAGACAAACTTTACCACATACCCTCTGCACTGCTGAGGTTATGCAGGCCAGGGATCCTGGCCTCCGAAGCCTGGAATAGGTGAAGTCTGGGTTCTTTGCCCACATCAAAGAGTCTGTACTTGGCGCTAGTGCCCACAGGAGCATCAAGTGACAAAAGCCAACTGAGCTCTAGAGCAGGGCAGATAGTTCCTTTGGAAGAAGAACCAGGTCAGGGAATGGGTGACTGGATTGAGCTCAGGGCTTCATTTCCTCTCTTCCCCACAGAGGCATTGCAGCTGCTTGAAAAGGGTTAGCTATAGAAAGGGTCTGCTGGAGTGCATGATGGCAGGTTCCCTGGGCAACACTGAGGATGCAGACTGCACGTACCAGGGCAGCATAGCCCAGAGCTGACCTTTTGGACAACCATACAGCTCCCACAGGAACTCTGGGACAAGAAGGAGAAGCTCAGGTTTTCTAAAAGAATACCCTATTCACTTCTGTTCTACACAGAATATTCAACTTCGCTGAGTTTTTGGTGGAATAAACTCCCTCATGTCTACAATGTACCTAGGGAAAGGGGCTGGAGAGTAAAGAGGCTTTGGGAGGCCTACAGAGCTCCACTCCTGGCTGGGTCATTCTCTTCGGGTCAGAAGTGCCATCACAGGCCATGAAGGTGAGGGAGAACATGGTGGTGGAATTTGGGATGCTGAGAGGCAAATCTCTGTAGAACCTGGATACCTCTGCTCTGCATCTTTTTATTCTTCAGTGAACAGAAGTGAGGTTAGCAGAACTCATGCCCACAGGGCTTGTCCTGGCCCTGGTGGCTCGGAGGTAGAGAGGCTGGACCGACAGCAGCGGAACACACACAGGCGTGTGATGTGCTGGCTTCCCAAGACATTCCAGCTCACTCCGAGTTCAAGGTAACCATCCTTAGGGCTTTTGATTTCTGGGCTGTCTCCCTAGTCATGCCCTGGGGAAGATGGGTCAGCTGTCCAAGGACACACAGACAACCTCTATCAGGCCATGGCTGGGCACAGGATGGCATAAAACATGCGGATCTTTTTGACTCAGAGAAGAAAATTGCTAGAAGATTCGGACTGTGTCTCCATGGGCTTAAGGGGCAGAGTTGGAGCCCACAATATTTTCTGACCTCTGAAAATCAGGGCCTGCCACCAAGTACAGATATCTTTCTCAACTAGAAATTGTCCAGAACTACGGAGCAAATAGAAAAAGTACAATGCTTGTCAATTCAAATAGGAAAATTGTGGCGAAAAATTAATTATCTCTTTCAGACCAACCAATCTGAACCTATTAATTAAGAGGATTTGAGGCTGTTGCTTAATGGACTTGAATGTGACCTAGGTTTAATTATATCTTTTAACAATCTACACCAATTTCTATGCTCTGCTGGCAACAGACTCTTCGTACACATAAAATAAACATTTTGAGCTAACTCTCTCAAGCCTTACTATTTTCAAAAGAAGCTTAAACACTACACAATTTCTTGGCAATAAGGTTTCTCGTCACACTAATTAAGATTGCAGGAAATGCATGACTTGGAAACACCAAAGTAACAGTTTTCTGTCACGTCTGTCAATAAGCAATTTTTCCCCCGACTTCCTGCATAGTCATTACCTGTGACATTACAATGGAACAGAGGTACGAAGGTCAAATAGTACATTTGAGGGTTGAATGACAACAACCAATGTTGGCAGTGAATTTACCACAGCTAGTCGTCAACTTCTGCATGCTTTGGGCTTGCCATACACTGGTACCTGAGCTAAACTAAATTGCTTTGCCTCTGATCCTTCACTCCTGCATCACTGTGCTCACAGATTTCCTTAGCATGGATGAAAGAGCCAAGAAGCAAGAAGGCATTCAAGTATCAAGGCTTAAAGGAAAGAGGCCCTATTTTGTGTGTACTTGTCTGGCCCCCAGAAACCAAGTCTAACAAGGATACACTGGATGATGGAACATCTCCTAAGCTCCATCCATGAGTGTTGCTACACAGAAAGATTCTACGCTCTAAAATGAAAATTACAAATCAATGCTAAGCAAGACCGAGTGCCGTACCTCTTATTTCTGGCACTGGATTGGGACATTCTAGCCTACGTACAAAAGATCAATTAAACCTCTCAGAACCTTTCTCTATATGAAAGGGCCACGAAATTGTTTTAACCCCTAAGTGGGGGACACTTAGTAAAGATTCCTTTAACCATGGACCAGGAAGTTCCTAGGATGACTGCATGGCATAAAACTGTCAGAACAGTGTGGGATTAACGGCATACATTGCTCTGTAAGCAAGACCAGGGGTCGAAGCCCAAGGGCATGGTTTCCTTGTTCAATTACTGTTATTGTCTATCACCTCTGACTATTGATTCTCTGAGGCTCATTTGTAATCTATTTTCTGTATTGGCGAAGATGATACAGGGGCTCTATACTTCAGTGTCTCATATCTAAAATGGAAGAAATAATAGTGCATGATTTCCTGGGTTGCCAGGAAGATTACATGAATGTTACATAGAACTATTCTCACTATCCCAGGACCTGACACCATTGCTAAACAGTGGCCCAAATTCACATCCAGCTGCCACGGCACACAGCTGTAATCGTGTCCTTGTATCATTTGGCTCAGGTTTACGGGAGTTGTGTTTGCAGGAATTTTCTAGGATGCTCCGCACCTGCGTTACCTTTATGAGTTCTTACTGTTTCACACAGGGCCTGGGTGAGGAAGGGGAGAGCTATCTATCAGATGAAGAGATATCGGGATGCTTTACTGTGACTGCCATGTAGAGAGGCCAATTCCATGACTGGCCTCACTTGTTATTACTTGTTCATTCTTCATTCGATGACTGGGAGTCATCATGTTTCTGGGGAAAAGTAGTCCTTGTATTGCTTTAGAAAGAACCCATACAGTGACTGGGGATGGAGAAAACAATTTATTTTCCTGGGAAGGGCTGCTTTCATGTAGCCTGAAGGGTCCCTTTCTGGCCACCTGTCTTCCTCAAGCACCTGATGTTGAAGGATGAGATGAACAGTGGCCATGTTCGCTCCCATCCTGATTAGTGCCATCCTCTGACACTCCATAAGCCCGGACTCTCTGTGTCTGCAGGCTGGCTTTGGTGAAGATCTATAGGGGTTAATGAGGCTGTGACAATGGTGTTGGTCACATATATTTAAGTTCTCAAAGTTGGTTACTACCCCAAACCAAAGGCTATTTCCTGGGGCAGACTCTAGTCTACTCCCAGAGACCAACTAACTAGGCTTCAGACACCTCCACCAAGATCTAAATTTCCTACACTTTCATTTGCCCCAAACATGAAATCAAATGCATTATACTTTGTAAATTCACTGACTTGGAGATGGGGCTGTAAGAGAGTATCTGGGTGAGTTTATAACTGGAGATGTTGAGCATCTGCCGGTGGGCCATCCTGAAATGGTCACCATTGAAAGCTGGGGCATCCCTGCCTTGGAAAAGCCTTGATAGCTTGCCTCCTATCATTTCTAGACCAGCCATGTGAGTAGGCAGCCAACAGCAAGGCCACATGGCCACATGGGTTTATTCACCCACGAGACATCAGCTTTGGCTTTGCTGCAGCTGAGTTATAAGACGAAATCATAGGCTCTTGTGGAAAGAAAAAAAAATCACAGCAAGGACAGTACAGGACCTGGGCCCCTGATGAGGGGTAGAGAGGACAGGCCCGTTCAGTTACAGTACACATTGTGATCACACACATCAGTGTAACACACATGTGCTGGTTCCCAGCCTCTGCAGTTAACTCACCTAGTCACTTCATGGACTTCACTGCCACAGAACAACACTTTTTCTTTCTGAAGGTGCTGAGGTTTTGAACTCAGGGCTTCATGTTTGCTAGGTAGATATTCTACTTAAGCTATGTGTCCAAGAGTGAAATACATCTAGAACATGGTACATACTTGTAGGACAAATGAGCAAAAGCATAAATATGAATAGGATGAAGTCTTTCCAGTAATTAGGTGTGTCTGTGTACAAAGAATGAGCATGTTCTGTGTGGCTTTGTTCTGGTGGTATTGGGGTTCAAACTCAGGGTCTTATGCTTACCAGGCAGGCATTCTACCACTACTTTAGCCATGCCCCTAGCCCTTTTGCATTAGTTGTTTTTCAGGTGGGGTATCTTTTATTGGTATAAGTTGGATTGGATGGTAATCCTCCTACTTAGGTCTATTATGTAGTTGGAATTACAGGTATGCCTTATGGTGCCTAATCTTTTAAATTTACTTTTAATTTTTATTTTGAGGAGGGGTCTTGCTAAGTTTTTTTTTGGGGGGGGCCTGGCTTGGCCTTGAACTGTGATCGTCTTGATTTCCTCCTCTCAAAGTAGCTGGGAATTCAGGCATAAGTTAACACTCCTGGTCCTGGGTGCACTTTTGCTCTGAAAGTTAAAGGAGTTACTGACTTGTTCCTCTTCACTCTTCATTCCACATCCCCATTTGGGCAGGGAAGAGGGAGGGTAAGGTATGAGAGGACGCACGTACATTTACCACTTTCACCCCTTCTAGGTGGGACGGAGATGACCTAAAGAACTTGTCAGAATTAAGCATGCTAGAAATGGCTTCCTGACAGCGAATGGAAACTAGTACATGAAACAGAAACGGTCCATGGACTTCTCCAAAGCAAGCGAGCACTAGGGTTGCCACTCACAGGGCCTGGAGACCTAGGGAACATGAGGGAGAGGAGAAAAGACCAGGGCATCAGTACGGCAGTGTCCACTGCTAGGGAGATCTCAGAGATTTACATGTATGACTCATGAGAACAAGAATGAATCATGCTTAGTGCCGGCCATGGCCCCTGGATCCCACATGGCCAGTGGATTTCATCTTGATTCCCTGCTTTGTATAATTATAGGTCAAATATCCCTTTCTACACTGCTTAGAACCAGAAGTGGCTCAGATTTTCTCATATACATAATCAGATGTCTTGGGGATGGGACCAAAGTCTAAATGCAAAATTCGTTCCATTTCATACATATAACCTGAAAGTGGTTTTATGCAACCTGCATTTTGACTATGACCTGTCACCTAAGGGTAGGCGTGGCACTGTCCACTTGTGGCATCCTATTGGTACTCAACCAATTTGAATCCTGCTGCAGTTTAGACTTCTGGTTTTCATATTGTGTGTGATCAACCTGTATGCAAGCACCTCCTGCAAGCCAGGTACTGTGTCAAGCACTGGGACAAATGCCTGTGAGCACAATCATCGAAGCTTCCCTCTCATGGAGCTTTTCACAGGAGTCTGGTGCCAGGGGTGGGGGAACCTCAAGCTAAGGTTCCCATGGAGATTTCAAAATGCATCAAAGCCTAGTGACAAGTGTGTGTGTGTGTGTGTGTGTGTGTGTGTGTTTTGGGGGTGGGGGAGGAGGAGTGAGGTCTCAAGACTGTTCAGTTTAGCACACACTGCATGTCTGCCAAGGGCAGGATCATCAAGGGCAACTCAATTCTTGGAAGGGGGAAAGGCGGGGAGTTTGCATAGACAAGGGGACAGCAACACCTTGAGTAATCACACCACCTTCACCTCAGATGCTACGGCCACAGTTTCTTTTCAGCTGCAGAAAAGAGGGTACGTATCTGGCTACACATTAGAACTCAAAACTACCCTGGAGTCGCCAACACAGAAGTATAGGAGACGAATGTACTATTCAGTATGGCAGACATAATACGGAGCAGTCCAATGGAAGATGGGAGAAAGTGAAGAGGTTCAAACTAGGCGGGTGAAAAAGACACACCTGGAAAGAGATGGAGATTTAAGTCAAAAATAAACACATGATGCCCTGGTTTGCAGCCTCCAACTCTACTCTTTGAGTTTACTGTACTTAATGACTTATCTGTGATCTCTGGGGTAATCATCCATCCATCCATCTATTCATTCATTAAAATTTATACCCCTAGGCCAAGGGACTTTTTGATTTCAACAAATTCCAAGTGTTTTCAGTTCTGATTTTATTGTCACACAGAGTTCTTTTTGTATTCTCAGGCTCTCCACAGCAAGAAGCTGCTAGAGATGCTTAGCCCTCTAATGGCAAGCCAGGACACAGTTCTGCTAAGCAAAGAGTTCCTTTGGGCTTGGTGTGGGGAGGGCTGGAGATTCAGAGATGTCTTGTGAAAAAAATGTAACGAGTGCGAGGATGATTAGACATCAATCATTTCTGTATCACCGAATCTCTTTGAGGAAACCAGACTTGTTTCTCTCTCCAGTTATGTGTCTGAGGAGCTTGTGGTCCCATTCATCCTGCAGCTCTAGTTCTCCACTTCCAGCGCAGATGGGAATAAATCGTTTTTAAATTGCTCAGAGACATAGAGCAAGGAGTTAGATGTAGGAAGAGCCACAAATGCAAAGCCAGACTGGTCTTTTATACCATTATTTCAAAGCCTGAAATTCAATCATTTTTGTGCCTGCTGCTGGGTGATACACTGCCTCATTCTTGTCACATTTGCCCATGATTTGAGCCACAATCTCAACAAAGAGTATTTTAATATCTTCCTGTTAGATAAGCAGGCTCTATGTAATTCAATCAGTGACATCCTCAGAAGGCACTCGTTTTTCAAGGATGAATATATGCCTCTTGTACTCCAAAATCAAGCTGCCATTGTGGCTGGGTCTTTTGGGCTTCTTTTCTTGTGCTCCCTTGGACATCAGGGAATCTTGGTTTTGGCCTGGTTCCCATTCTCTGACAGGTTCGATGGATGGTAGGTAAGGGTTCTTTTAAAATTTGCAAGGCTGAGCAAGACATTTCAAGAGGCTGGGTTAATAGAAGCGTGTGAGACAGTAATGACACGCTGTGGAAAACTAGCTCTGCCAAATGTTATTTTAAAGGAACTTGAACTTTTTGCACAATCTGATGTGGCAGAAAGTAAAATGAGGCAAATGGCAAAAATAGCATCATCCTTAAAGATCCTGGACATCTTGAAGATCCTAAAATGTCGAGCTAAGACAGAGGTGATAGGAAACAGTGAAACTGGGACACACATCACTCTGGGTGGGCCCAGACAGTCATCAGACCATACAGGTGACCTTGGATGGAAATAGAGGAAATAAAACAAACCAGGTTTTTGGACAAAGAGTTTCTTATTCATGACACCACACAAATGACCTAGAGGCAGAAAGGATCAGAGTGTGTTTATAGATGACAAAGAATAGACAATTGTTTTGGCTCAAAGGGGCCCATTTAGAGTTCTTCAGTTTAGAGCCAGGTGGATGGATCACACTTAGAATCCTTACTACTCAGGAGGCTGAGACCTGGAGGACTGGGGTTAGCTAGGCAGGGAAGAAAAGTTCATGAGACTCAGTCTCCAAATAGCTATCAAAAAGGAGTATTGGATGCATGGCTCAAGTGGTAGAGCATCAGCCAAGTAAGCATGAGTCCCTAGGTACATACGCAAATATTTCAGAAAACAAAACAACACATATACATGCAATGAACAAACAATAATAGTTCTTCTGAGGATGGTATGCAAAGGGCCTAGCAGAGCTTTAATTTGTAATTTAAAAAAAGTGCAAGGTGAAAAAAAAAGTGCAAAGCGAAGTTACCTCCATGACTCAACTACAATTTACCTTTGGCAAGCTCAGCTCTCTAGCAATTACAATCGCACCTGCTCTGTCTACCTATTCAATTACAATCACACCTGCTCTGTCTACCTATTAAGACTGCTGTGAGATTAAAAGAGGATAGCCACTTGCAAATACTTGTAAGAACAAAATGTCACACAAGGATTAGCAATTGTCAATACATGGAGTCCATCGGCTCAATCACTCTCCCCTACCTGGAACATAAAGTCAGTGTGCTTGCTGTCAGAGCCTGCTGACGACAATTTCCCTGTGTTTAGGGGACACTGAAGGAGCAGATCCACTTACTGCCTTTTACTTTTCTGTGCCTAGCAGGTAGCACCTCCTCAATGTTCAGGAAAATCCTAAATAAGAACTTAGGGAGCTCAGCTAATCCTTCGTGGGCAAATTCTGGTTTACTTACAAGTTCTTTCCTTCATTTGGCATTTCCTTGACAGCAAATAGAAAGGACAGAGACCGCTGGTGTTAAATCAAGATATCATCATGCTAGTACTTAGTGGAAATAATTCTCAGGGTGCTCTAATCCATCTCTACCGTCTGATCTCCTATCATGCCTATGGCAAGCCGACCCTTATCTCCTCATAAAATCTTTCCTTCCGTTATTTTCCACCATGATTTTCCTTGCTCCTTGAGCAGGGACTGGCCTTCACCTCAACTCATTCAGTGTCCTGCACATATTTGCTGAAGGAGCTGTGTGAGGAAAAACATGTTGGGGACCTCATTCCTGGGGTCGTTCAGCATCCCGAGCTTTCTGTTTCAAGAGAAAAAGTCCATCCTCCTAGTTGGAGCCTGACCTTTTCCTTTTTGTGGCTCTGTTCCCAAGGGTGTGTGTGTGTGTGTGTGTGT